ACATACTTCTTATAGAACCGGTATGATTGTATAATAAATAATGCTTTGTGGTTTGTTTGTTTAGGGATTTCGCCCCGTGATGGATAATTGTAGAGAAAACATAATGGTCCTAAGACAAGGATTAGACAAAATATAATTGTCTCGAAAGAAAAGGGCGTTTCGTTAGTGGCGTTGTCACTTAAAAGACAATAGCCGTTACAATGAGTTCAAAGTGGCGGAAACTCTCCGCCGCTTCGGCTGGATCGTTCCGGCTTACACAATGCCTGCGAATGCGGAACACGTCACCGTCCTCCGCGTCGTGATCCGACAAGATTTTTCTCGAACCTTAGCAGAGAGATTGGTCTCAGACTTTGAGAAAGTTCTTCACGAGCTCGATAATCAAGGATTAATGCCATAATTGCCGACGAGTAGTTAGTCATAAATAAAATTGTGTGGTAGCTTTTTGTTTCTGTCGCTAACACTTTCATGTAGCTTGGATTATTTTAACTGTTTTTTTCAATTTTTAGTTTGATATTGTTGATGAATGCTGATTTATAATGTATATAAATGAAATAAAATTTTATATTATTTTGTGAGTAAAATTTTGATGTAGGCAAAGTTATAATAAACATAAAAAACAAGATATTAATTTGTAATGAATTTTTGGTTAATTCAATTCGGTTTGGATATATTTTTGGGGTTACGTCATATTTGATTTCATCAAATGGCGAATATTTGATTTCGCTGTCAAGATTTAATATTTGGAAAATTTGAACATTTTTATTCCAAAATACGGATTCAATTTTTTTTGTTAAAATCCAAATCAGATATTGAATAATTCCGGATTTTATATTAGCTTATTTATATACTTTGTTCGAATTGAAAGTGTAAATCTTCATTTAAATTTTAGCCTATCATTATATTTTGAAAATAACAAAACAATATTCACAATACTCAGAATCTCATAAAAAATAGAAAAACTGTGTATTTCTCCACGAGAACTATGATATATATATACATACACTACAAGAAAACAGCAACATTTCTGACGGAAATTCCGACGGCCGAGATTTCCGTCGGAAATTTCCGACGGATTTCCGACGGAATTGCGACCAAAAGTAAACCGTCGGAAATCCGTCGGTTATTTCCGACGGATTTCCGACGGAATTGCGACCAAAAGTAAACCGTCGAAAATCCGTCGGTTATTTCCGATGGATTTCCAACGGAAATAAATTGTCGTAATATTCTGACGACTTTCCGACGGCATCCCGACGAAAATCCGATTTTTCCGATGTCGGCAAAGTTTGATTGGMCAGCGCATACCGACGGAACTTATTCCGTCGGAAATTCGATGTCGGCAAATTTGAGTGGTTACCATTTCTTTAGCGGTG